AATTTTCTGGACGGAACACGTCCCATTCCCGCTCTCCCTAATCGTAGCTGTAGGTTTTAGACAGTACATCACAATTCATGTACCCGTGTCAAGGAGAGGACTCGATAACCAGAGTGAATAACTTTATAATGATTGTCATTTGAATGAAATACAAATAAGATTTGTATATACAACAAATAGCACATTTTACCATTACTATATTAAATATAAATTACAGATGAGAATGCCCTTTCTTGTTCAATTCAGTAAATGTTACATCACCCCTCCAAACACGAATGCAAAACTCTGTGGCATTCTCCTTCAATACATGTCGGAAACTGTTCCTTTCCAATGCACTTCTCAAGTGTTTCGTTTTGGAGTTTAAGGAATTCCTGAAGATGATATTTAAAACATGGACCGTACTGACGAATTTTGTTGAACAATACTTTCTTAAAATACAGATAAAGATTTAAATCTGACTTATTCCACTCTAGTATTTTATCCTTATCAGTTGATGTCAGATTGCTACGTCGATTGTCGCTCCGTATTCCATTGGACATGTACAATATATCATTGACAGACCAACATAGTAGATCTCGTAATATTAATAAAGACTCGTCAAAATATGCAGTGATAAGTACAACATCTATTTCTTTGTGCAAGGTTTTTATTGTCTCGTTCACCATCTCCTCATCCAGTGTCTGTGTTGAGCTCAGGCCAAGATCGAACAGCTGTCCATTTCGATTATTCCAAGGAATTGTATTTGTGTATTGCTGGGGGTTACGTAAGAATTCAGAGATTTGGTCTTTTGTCGACATGTATGTTCCACTTTGAAAATAACCAAATGTTGATTCAAACTGTTGTACTGAGTAGCGTAATATTGTAATGTAGGTTGTATTTGAAATCAGTGAGTCAAATTCACAACGATTATATCGTGCATGATTGGTCAACATGTCATAATTCTTCATATCATTGAAATTCAAAACCACATTTTTATTAAATAGTTCTGTTTAAAAAAAAAATATGTGATTTCCTTTAGGTAGTGCCATTGTTAGAATTATTGTATAACCATATCTTTTCAGAATTGAGGCTAGGGTAGTACTTGCAGTCTTGTGTGCTTTGATATAAACATTTTTTTGCTTTGATTTGTATGTTGGGCGATCATACAATCGCTCAAGACATTGGTCAGGTGATATTTCATTGTACCAATCATCATTCTTCTCGGATTCACTGAAAAGTATAAAAGAATTTTAACATACATGGCATATCAATATGGTCACACACAACGACGACGGAGTTCAAGCTTCTATACTATAAATGAAACTGAGATAGTGGAAGGTATGCCATAAATAAATCCAAGCGAGCTGTAACTAGTTGATATTGATTGCACTTCGCTCTAAATACTGCTCCACGACTTTGCCACGAACATGTCAATTCTCATCAGTTTGCAATAGAGAAAATTTCCGAAAACACAAGAAAATTCTAACATTTGCAGCTCGTACAATAGAGAAATAATTTGATACGCAAGCCTACTCATACAATGTTATTCTTTTAACAACTTTCAAACCAATTAGCCTAGTATGGTTTAGTATTTGTCTTAAATTCCAAAATTGTGCATATTATACTGCATAGAAAAACTGAAGCTTATAATACTTTGATTAAAGTTATAACACTTCTTAAAGACAAGCAATTATTTGCAAAAGGCGATATTCGTTGTCCAATGTATATTTTATTCGCGAGGTCATAAACGTCATTTCTGAAATGGAGCCAACTAACATATGCTGTCCTCAATGGAATTTAATGAACGCGAATTGAATTGAAGTTGTAAATACAATTATATGTAATTACTCTATACGTGGTCCTCATGCTTAATTTTGTTTATTTTGTAAGCCGAGCAGCTCATACATCTAAAGTTAGTGAAAACCGGTGTAAAACGTACATATGTTTATAATTCCCTATACAAATCATACAATATAATAGTTGCCGTGTCAGTAGTCCGTGTTCGGATTATAGCTAAATCTGGTTTATTTACTCCGTTGTATTATATATTGAAGAATAACGAAGTAATTCATGGGTACATGAACACTAAATAACAGAATAAACGGTTTTAAAAATATTTAAATATTTATTTGAAAATATCAGTGAATCTGATCCCTGTGAGTTTTAAAGTAGGCGGCGATTTAAAGAATGGAGACAAAACAATTTACGTTTTTAGTTCAAAGTATTTAGATATTTCAAATTCAACTATAGGTGCATGTACTACTTGTGGATGAAATATGCATCTGGAAATAATATATCCAACCGTAATTCATACTATGTATTTTATTAGTGATATCACGTATTAACGTACTAATTTGTTATTTTTTCTTTTAAATATAAGGTGTTTAAAAAATTGTTAACATGGTCACTGTGTATGGGTATAACAATGTGTTTGGGGGTAGTTGACTACTTTTGAAGTACGAGTATATCCTGTCCCATAATTCAGAACCATGCACAATGTGACGTCACTAAGTAGAACATTATGGTAATAACAGTTTCAATAAGGATTGAGCGCGTACTTACCGATCCCTGGATTTTTGAGAGAACATATTGATATGTAATCGTTTAAAAGTACAATGTGACGTTGTAGTATCATACGTCAACAAACCGAGATATCCTATAGCTGCTACGCAGGAAATAAAAAGGAAAACAGACCAACTACGTATTGGATGATTTCAATGTCTGAAATGTGACTTAAACATAATTGTTATGCTAAAGTTGCAGGGCCGCGATTGCGATTGTAGAAGCGCCCTCATCGCATAATTGTGTTTCGTGTGTTCCAAACAAACAATTGCATCGTTATTTCAAAACATACGTTGACAATATGAAGGGTTTTGGTGTAAGTAATGGAACACGACCAATACGTAATTGGTCTGTTTTCCTTTTTATTTCATGTGCAGCAGCTCTAGGATATCTGGGTTTGTTGACGTATGATACTACAACGTCACATGGTACTTTTCAACGATTACATATCAATATGTTCTCTCCAAAATCCAGGGATCGGTAAGTACGCGCTCAATCTTTATTGAAATTGTTATTACCATAATGCTTAATTTACTACGTTCGTCAAGTCTGAAATTGATTGGAAACGTCTACTTAGTGACGTCACATGGTGTATGGTTTTGAATTATGGGACAGAATATACTCGCCCTTCAACAAGTATTTTGCTGCCCCCAAATACATTGCCATACCCACATACCATGTTTAGAATTTTTAAAACACCTTATAATTAAATAAATAACAACTGAATATGTTAATACGTGACATTAGTAATGTAAAACATAGTATGATTTATGGTTTGATATAGTATTTCTACATGCATATTTTATCTACAAGTAGTACACGCACATACAGTTGGATCTGACACATCTAAATACTTTGAAATAAAAACGTACATTGTTTTGTCTCCATCCTTTAAATCGCCGACAACTCTTAAACTCATGGAATCGGCTTCACCGATATTTAAAAGTGTATTCTGTTATTTGGTGTTAGTAGTTCATGTAACCATGAATCACTTCATTATTCTTCAATATACCAATATATACAGCAGAGTAAATAAACCAGATTTAGTTCCAAACTGAACTAAATAGAGCTTCGACTACAAACATGCCAACTGCATGTATTGTATGATTTGTATAGGGAATTATCAACATGTTTACGTTTTAACACGTAGTAGAGTAATTACATATAATTGTATTCAAAACTTCAATTCAAATCGCGTTCATTAAATACTATTGTGGACAGCATATGTTGGTTGGTTCCATTTCATTTTTTGACATCGCGAATAAAATACATTAGACAATGAATATCTGAATATCAACTTTTGCAAATACTTGCTTGTCTTTGAGAACAGTTAAAACTTTAATTAAAAAATATATTATGCAGTATAATACCTCACACAATTTGAAATGTAACTAGGTTAATTGGTTTGAAAGTGGTTCTACATATATAATTCATAATTAAAAGAATAACATTGTATGAGTATACATGCGTATCAAATTACTATTGTACAATTTACACATTAAAAATCAACACATTTTGAATCTCAGTGACATGATCAATCTATATATATGTATATTGTTTTATTTATTTGATTGCTGGTTAGGAATAAATCTAGGAGCTGCAAATGTTAGAATTTTCTTGAGTTTTCGGAAATTTTCTCTATTGCAAACTGATGAGAAATGGCATATTCGTGGCAAAGTCGTGGAGCAGTATTTAGAGCGAACAGGCAATCAATATCAACTAGTTACAGCTCGCTTGGATTTATTTATGGCATACCTCTACTATCTCAGTTTTGTTTATAGTATAGAACGCTTGAACTCCGTCGTCGTTGCCTGTGACCATATTGATATATCATGATATATCATGTATATTCTTTTATACTTTTCAGTGAATTCGAAAAGAATGACGATTACTACAATGAACTATCACCTGACCAATGTCTTGAGCGATTGTATGATCGTCCAACATGCAAACCAAAGCAAAAAATTGTTTATATCAAAACACACAAGACTGCAAGTACTACCCTAGCCTCAATTCTGGAAAGATATGGTTATACAAGAAATCTTACAATGGCAATACCTAAAAGGAATCACATATTTTCACGAACAGAACTATTCAATAAAAATATGGTTTTAAATTTCAATGATATAAAGAATTATGACATGTTGACCAATCATGCACGATACAATCGCCGTGAGTTTGTCTCACTGATTCCAAATGCAACCTACATTACAATATTACGTCACCCTTTGCAACAGTTTGAATCAGCATTTGGGTATTTTCAATGGGGCAGGTTCATTCCGACAAAGGACCCAATCTCTGAATTCTTACGCAATCCCCAGCAATACACCAGTGTGATTCCTTGGAATACTCGAAATGGACAGCTGTTCGACCTTGGCCTGAGCTCAACACAGACACTGGATGAGGAGATGGTGAACGAGACAATGAAAACCTTGCACAAAGAAATGGATGTTGTACTTATCACTGAATATTTTGACGAGTCTTTATTAATATTACGGGATCTACTATGTTGGTCTGTCAATGATATATTGTACATGTCCAATGGAATACGGAGCGACAATGGACATAGCAATCTGACATCAACTGATAAGGATAAAATACTAGAGTGGAATAAGTCAGATTTAAAGCTTTATCTGTATTTTAGGAAAGTATTGTTCAAAAAAATACGTGAGTACGGTCCATGTTTCAAGCACCATCTCCAGGAATTCCGTAAACTCCAAAACGAAACACTTGAGAAGTGCATTGAAAAGGAAAGGTTCAAAGATATTCAAGGAAAAGAATTCCGACATGTATTGAAAGAGAATGCCACAGAGTTTTGCATTAATGTTTGGAGGGGTGATGTAACATTTACTGAATTGAACAGGAAACGGCTTTCTCATCTCTAATTTATATAATGGTTTCATGTGCTATTTGTTGTATATACAAATGATTGTTCAATCTAATGTGTATTTAATTCGAATGACAATCATAATAAATTCCCGTAAGTTATTCACCCTGGTTGCCCTCTCCTTCAATCCGTTAACACGGGAACATGAATTGTGATGTACTGTCTAAAACCTACAACTACGATTAGGGAGAGCGGGAATGTGGACGTGTGCCATCCAGAAAATTCGGCTTTTATGCCCGCTCATTTTCTAATTTCGGATTCATGTATCTTACGCTCAGTAAACTTAGTCGGTTCTCTATATACGTTATGGCTGGAACCAGACTAAAACGAACATACGAAATGTCCCCTGTAAATGTTTTTGTTTGAAGCAAAAAGAAGAATCTAGAAAATGTACCGGACCATCAAGTGTCTGCCATCGATATTTGTAATCATGTCTTTTTTTTCAACTATATCAATCTACATGAATTCTACCTTAATATGACTGAGAAGGTAACATATTTTGTGTGTATTCACTCATGTGCGTATTTTTCTTGTTATATTTTATGGAAGTATAGTTAGTTTTAGGAATGGTATTACTGAATATAATTATGTATAGTTATACATGTACACATCTGCAGTTTGAAAGCCTGGAACAATGGACTGTTGTATGTATAACTATTATTAATATAAATATATCAATCATATCAATAAGAGACTTTATTTCGAACAGCCAGTAACAGATTCATCAGATTTTTTTTCTTCAAAGTATGAATTTAAATAATAATGAGTAAATAACACATATATCAAAACATCGTGAGGAAAATCTTCAATATAACATTGTCAAATTTGCTATTTATTCCTCAAATCTCTCAATTCGTTGGAAATAACATGTTTGTTAAAAGTTGTGAACTTTAATAATAAAGTCACTCATCTCATGCATAATGTGCATATCTTCACAGTGTGACGTAATGCATAATACATCAGGAAATGTACATCACATAGTTTGACGTCAAATTGTTTTTACTGTACTCGCTGCCTGAAGGTTTCCGGGTTTATATACGAGCTGATATAAACGATTATGGTAAATATGGTTAACTTTGGGAAGCTTATGTGTGTATTTTTGAAATTATTATTCAAGATCTCCAAAATTAATTGAAATTTAAAAAAAGTTCCACTTTTAACACTTTGCTATTTCACGGTTTAGGACAGTGAAAATATATATAATCACACGATATTTTCTCTTAGA